ATATAGTTTTACCTTTTTCCAAATTTCGCAAATTTTTTAATAAGATTTTAATATAATTTAACTAAGTTTTACTTTTAATATTTAGACGTCTGTCTAAACTCTTGATTTCGTCCAGCAACCTTAATCCTTACCTTAGAAAATAAACTATTTATATTATATTAATTGCTTAAAATTATATTTTCTTTTTCAATATTCTCAGCTTTAATATGTTGTAAAATTTCTTAAACTGCAATTTATATAATATGTGCTAAACATCGAAAGTGATTTTGATTATGATTAAATTTAACATAATTCATACTACAAATATATTTAAGCTCTTTAAAAAAAGTATCATTATTTCTAGCATTATATGTAGTAACTGCAATAATCTTAATTAAATAAATTAAATAAATTAAAATATTATAATAATATTTTATTATAATAAAAATAAAATAAAAATAAAATAAATTTATTACTAACTTTTGTTAATAAATTCATTTTTTGAAGACATTTGGAAAAAGCATTTGCAATATTTTCTCCTGAATGAGGACCCGATAAACTAACAAAATCAAGTAATATATTTTGAACTTTCCAATCAGTATCAATATAATGACATGTTATTCCTAAAAAACTAATTATGTTTTGTGAAGTCTATCTATCTATGGTAAAACTTATTTTGCCTGAAATATCTTTTTTAATTAAAATAAATTAAAAATAAAATTAAAAATAAGTAAAATTCTAATACTAAATAATAAATTGTTTTTCAAATATAAATTAAATTACATTTAGAAAAAAATTTTTAAAATAATTATTTTGTATTTCAATATTATTGATTAAATTATTATTAAATTACTAATCTGTAATATTTTTTTAATCTTTTCCTGATATTTTTTAAACAATTTTGAAATATCACTTTTAATTGTATCAGCTGTTAGCATACATATTTCTGAATTACAAAAATTTAATAAATCTTGAAATTCAGGACATTTAATTATTGTAAATGGTTGATCATCAACAGCAATCCATATAGCTAACTTTTCACGAAAAGTTTTATTGGAAAATACTTATAAAATATTTAAAAAGTAAAATTTAATTCTTTAAAAAATAATTAAATAAGTTTAATATAACTTACATTTTTTGACTTATCATCATTTAAAAATTTAATCATAAAGTTTG